CAAGAACTGTAATAACGTGCTTGCAATAACTGGTAATGACTCTTTCACATCACTGTGGAGGAATTTTGGCCCATTCTTCTTTGCAAAATTGTTTTAATCCAGCCACAGGGGAGGGTTTCAAGCATGGATGGTCATGCCAAAGCATCTCAATCAGGCTGAAGTGATTAGGCCACTCCACAACCTTAATTTTTGTGTTTTCAGAAGTGGACCTGCTGGTGTGTTTTTGAATCATTGTCCTGGTGCATAGCTTAAGTGCTATTGAGCTTCAAGGCATGAACTGCTGGCCAGACATTCTCCTTCAGGATTTTCTGGTAGAGAGAAGAATTTATGGTTTCATCAATTACGGCAGGTCATTCAGGTCCTGAAGCAGCAAAGGTAAATGGCCTGTATTTGTATAGCGCTTTACTAGTCCCTAAGGACCCCAAAGCGCTTTACACATCCAGTCATCCACCCATTCACACACACATTCACACACTGGTGATGGCAGCTACATTGTAGCCACAGCCACCCTGGGGCGCACTGACAGAGGCGAGGCTGCCGGACACTGGCGCCACCGGGCCCTCTGACCATCACCAGTAGGCAACGGGTGAAGTGTCTTGCCCGAGGACACAACGACTGAGACTGTCCGAGCCGGGGCTCAAACCGGCAACCTTCCGATTACAAGGCGAACTCCCAACTCTTGAGCCACGATCGCAAAGCAGCTCCAGACCATCACACTACCACCACCATGTTTGACTGTTGGTACGATTTCCTTGTTAGCTCCTTGCCAGATGCAATGGGGTCAAACTTTCCAAAAAGTTCCGCTTTTGAAGATATTTCCCAGTTTTATGGATCATCAAGATGGTTTCTGGCAAATGCAACAGAAGATTTTGTGATCTTTTTGGTCAGCAGTGGTTTTCGCCTTGAACATTTTGCCGAGCCTCTTTCTTATTGTTGAATCATGAATGCTGACCTTAACTGAGACGAGTGAGGCCTGCAGTTCTTGTTGATGTTGTTCTGGGTTCTGTTGTGACCTCCTGGATGAGCCGCTAATGCATCCATCCTTGGAGTAATTTTGGTAGGCCAGTCACTCCTGGGAAGGTTCACCACTGTCACCGCTTTCTGAATATTAGTTCTCACCATGGTTCGCTGGAGTCCCAAAGCCTTAGAAATGGCTTTGTAATTACTTTTTCACACAGGGCCAGGTAGACTGGCATAGCTTTTTTCCCTTAATGAATGAAATCACCATTTAAAAACTCGGGATTTACTCAGGTTTTCTTAGTAAAATATTAAAATGTGCTTGACGATCTCATCTATGTAAATGTGATAAATATACAAAAGAATAAACTGAAGTTCCAGCATTTTGTGAACAAAACTAATAGTTTTCAAACAGGGAGGTGTAGAACGGTGTGTGACTAACCAATTTTCTCATCCTCCTGCACCATCTTCCTCTCCTCGGCGAAGGCCCTGAGCCAGCGGATCTTCTCCTCTGGCTTCTTGGCCAGGAAGATGTGGATCTCCTCGCTGTCTTTGTTGCACAATTTAAAGGCATTCTTCACACTAACGTTGAAGTCTTCGTCACGCCCGTCTATAGTGTCCCGCACCTCGTAGCGATCCATGTCAATGCGGCCCTTATAGTACAGGATGTCCCGGCGTATCAGATCCTGGTGAAGAGCAGATAGATTTTTGTCATTGTGTGTGTGCTGAATCTTAGAGGAGCCGACAAACACGGTATCTCGAGAGTCTGCCTTACGTGACACCTTTCACTCACACGCTGCAGAAAACAGCCCTATTTTTCAGTTCTTTGCCTAATATCACAAAAAAGGACGCATGGCACTAGATTATCAGATACACACTAAAACCAGACGAATGACTGTAAAATGACACCGCCATGAATCGAATATTTGTATAGCAGGGGTCTCAAACTCATCTAACATCACAGGGTGCATCCAGTGTAATTTCATATTAAATGGGCCACATCAGTGAAGGTGCCTAATAACGCCTGATAACAGTGCCTAGTAACTTTTTTTTAAAAATGTCCATTTACTAAGCACATGAAGACGTTCAACTACAAATGTAATTCCTGAGCTATCTTAAGATGAAAAAGCTTAATTTTAGCAATATCTTTGTTTTTTCGCATGAAAAGAACATTTTATTAAATCAGATATGTTTCAGGACGGCCCATTGGGTTTACACTGTAAAGGAAATAAAGAAATAAAAGAACCTGAAATTTAAAAAATACATCTCATGTGAATTCATAGAAAATACCTTTTTTTTTTTTTTTACTGTGTAAAACTGAAAATTCTGTTGTAAATTGTGAAAAGGGCTTTTTTTGGTGTATGTCAGGTCATGGAATATGTCCTTTTTAGTAAGAAGAAATTTCAGTTAAAGGTTCAAAATTTAGTTCTGAAATTTCAACTTTCTGTCTATTAATTTCTGAGCAACATGATTTTTGAGTACCTGAGCCCAACACACCAGCAGCTATAAAACACATACTGCAAAAGACACAAACACAACTAATGAATGAGTATTGACTGACATTGTTATTGCTTTGCATTTCAGCTCTCCACGCGCGCACACAGCACAATAACTGTAACCCTTCTAACTTTCATCATTTGCAGGAACAAGATGGCCACATGAAAAATTCTTCGCCGCGACCCCTCCCTCAGGAGGAAATGAACATCCCGTTACGCTGCGAGGTCGACGAAGGTACAAAGAAAGGATCGGGCGTCTTTTAATAAGCATGCAGAGGCAAATGTGCATCTTTGTGCTGATAAGGAAGAGATGAGAGGAAAAGAAGGCAGGCAACATGTAATGTGCTCCTCACGCATCCCGAGGGCTCTTAGGAGCCGATACATATGTAGCACTGAGGATGCTGGATAAGCAAGAATAAAAACAAAGACTGGAATTTATAATGTAGAATGACTCGGAGCAGATTTTTGTTAGTGGACCAGAACAGCAGGCACACAGAGAGGTCTGAGGACACACCTGAGTTCATTTCTGGTGCCATAGATGTTCAAATGTGACAAGTCAGGGGAGGGCGTGTGTGTGCGTGGAAAGACAATATAACTCCAAGTCTTTGTTTTTTGTTTTGTGTGTGTGTTTGTCTGTGTAGTGATAAAACTATTGTTCCTCTGCTTCCACACGTGTGTGTTCGTGATGTAGTTTTTCAGCCTCTGTGTGCGTTTGTGTCTAAGTGTCTGCCTGCATTTGTGTCTGTATCTCTGTGCGTGTATTGAGTCAATCCAGGCGTGAACATTCGTCTGACAGGCGAGCACAGCCTTGGTGCATTAGAGCCTAAACTACCAAAGCTCCATTTTGTGAAAGGCACTGAGGATTTGAACGCATCTTCAGCGAGGGCTGGTGCGTCTCATGCAGCATTATATAATCTGTTTTCAGGTTGTAAGAATTCACATTGTCTTCAAGCGTCTCTGTCACCAGCCATGTGATCTTGCAACTTCCAAGAACACGAGTGGAGGGAGGCTACATTTTAGCTTCCAAGCATGTTTTCACTCAATAAAGTCTTTAAATAAAGGGAAGACGTTGAAGAGAGACACAGCCTTACCTTCTTACAGAGGACCAGCTGGTGATCAAAGAGGAAGAAGACTCGCTGTTGGCTGCGTCCATACGGCTGATAGATCCATGACAACTCCCCAGTGTAGATGAGCTCTGAGCTCCTGTCCAATATATCATCCCCCTAGACATAAACACAACAGTTAAAGAGTTAACGAATGAAAAGAATACTCCTGCTACAGCAAAAATTTATTTACTCATCACCGTTAGTCGCACTCAGCCTGTGGAAACAGTTACATAATATATTTTGTGGTTCACAAAGAAGTCTTGGAAATTAAACCTGATAATGTCATAATCATGTCATCAGGGATAAATCGGAATTATGGAACGTTTTTTACAGGCTGAAACATCTAAATGTCTCTCCAGGTTAGGAAGGGGGAGTGCTTGAAACCAACCAATCTTGAAACCAACTAGTAAATAAAATAAAATCTTATTACAAGCTGCCCAACTTTGCAAAGTGCAGTAGTAAACTGCTGGATTAATCCTTTGGAAATCAGGCAACACACAGTTACGTCCTGCTCTGAAAATCAAGGTGTCTTTTTCAGTTTTTAAACACTCGCTTTCCTGCTGTGTGTGTTTCAATCCTAGCTCATCTGTTTTTTGGTATGTTAGTAAAAAAGCACTCGTCGGCCTACAGGCATTTAAAAAGAGACTAAGACAGTCACATCATTTAAACATAAGATGGCGGTCCAGAGTGTTCAGCTGGCAACGCAAGTCAAAACAAACTACCTTATTTATGTTATTTACATTACTGCAGTCATTACTTTGTAGGCCAGCGTGAGAGTCTCTGCCTTATTAGTCTCCTCTGCTTTGTGTTTCACCGTGTCTCGACTATGTGTGTAACAATGAAAAAGGAGCAGAGGAAAGATGTTACTCAACTTCAAGTCAAGCCACTACGTTACTGTAAGTATAACTAAAACTTCCCAACAGGAGTTCATCTGTCGACTAAAATGCACCAGGATGCCTTGAAGTAGTTATAAAGACATTATTTTGTTTATTATTTCTTTATTATTTAACACTTTTTTGCAAAGAAATAAAAAAATTACCGGCACAAGTAAATGTTTTTATATCCAGTCTCATACACAGATTAAATACAAAGGACACATCTGAAATGCAGCAGGAGACTATAACGTAACCTTTGGATTTTATTTTTTGCGTTTTTGCTCATTTTCTTCTGCTTGTTTATTAAAGAGAGAGCATAAATATATTATGATATATTCTTATTGTTATTGTTGTATGTTACTGTTTTTGTTGGTGATAAAATAAAAAGTATGCTCTGAGTAAGTGTGTGTCGCAGTGTGAATTTCTGCAAGTGAAACTACTACCATCAGAGTAAATTAATTATTATCAACGAGCAGCACTGTTGCCCCCAGGAAGGCCTGCGCTTGATTCACAGAGTTTCTTGAAAAGAGTCTGCAGATCAAATCATCTGCATTCATTTGTTTCCCTTTCTCAAACAAACACTTTCTCACACACGTCAGTCTCGAGCACGTTAACGGGCAATTTAACCGCTTTAATCTCTCTGTGTCGCTGTTCTTAACATTTTTTCTCCAGTTTGACACCTCATAGTTAACACTAAACGTCTGAAAATGCCGCCAAAATATCTCAGTATTTTAAACTCACTCAACCCGAATCTGCCATGAAAAAATTAGAGAAAAGCCCACAGGGAAAAGCAGCGGCGGGGGAGCTTACTGTAGCATATCACAACCATTCAATGTAATTTACATTGCTACTACGGGCTGCTGGCCATGGCTGGATTTCTTTTATTGCCCTTTGTGCAAAGACCCTTTCTGGTGGTAAAATGAAAACAAAGGCATAGGTGTTGCTGATGGACCCTTTTCTTTAGTCTGAGATGCTTTGGGTGTAAATGCTGTCTACGCCCCACATTTTAGGAATTAATGGCACCATTTGGGAAAACATAAAAACATAAACATTAAGCTTTTGTTCAGTACAGTACGGTACATTCATACACATACCTCCCAGTCCAGAACCGAGGCTTGCCACTGGGCGATCTTGTCAATATTCTCCAGCCGTCTCTTCCTCTCGTTGATTTGCTGGGTGACGTTCCGCATTACTGCCAGCGCTGCTGCCACGTATCGATAGTCACTACAGACACAGTGCACACATAATTACTCTTGGGTGTTTAAGAGGGTTGTAGCTCTTGGTGGTTGGCCACTCAAAGGCATGTAATGTTGTAGTAGTTAATGATACAGAGTAGCCTATTAAAGAGCGGGGTTATAAACTCAAGTAACAGTAGTAAATCTGCTGGAACACACTCAAAAAAAGGGAAAAAAGACACTGCTATTTAATTTTAATCAGCCACTTTCTCTATTCACAGTTAACTCCGGCTGCGTCTTTGCTAACTGAGCTGGATTTATCCCTCTGGCTTAGATGTGCTGCAGATCCAATCCTCACTTTGGAAGATAATATGTGTGTGTGTGTGCTTGTGTGACAGAGAGAGTCCTATATCTGGCAGATTCTCCACTGCTCCTAACAGTCAAACACTGCGATCTGGCAGGCCTCGCTGGCAGAGCTGGCACCTGTCCCTCTCTGGCTGAGAACGCGTGGTTTGTGAATGACCTGGAGCTGGCTGAGACATGCTGAATCACTTACACCATGTTTCCGTGGGTTTGCACGCATGAGTTTGCACATCTGGATGCGCACATATGCGTTTAATGCATGAAAGCTCATCAGCAAATGTTTAGATTACATACTCTGCTTCTGTGCTGCAAAAACATAGATTGTTGTGTGTGTGCCAACACCCGAAGAAAATAATCCTCAATTCATATTTAACCTGTTATCTCTCTCTCTCTACATATATATATACACACATATATATAGCAAAGTTATTTGATGTATATATATATATATATATATATATATATGTGTGTGTGTGGAATGGAATACTGTATATATGAACAGTGGAATTTAGTATTTTCAAGACAACTTAGAGTTCGTAATGAGATGTTTTCTTCAAAAAAAAAAAGGAAAAAAAAAAGAGAGTACAAAACAACATTTGCTTCAGTTCATGCATGGATAATTACCGCTTCAGTGGTTTAAACCCAACACCTGCAACAGCTGCATTGCAACACAATGCATCTGGAACAAAATGATGCATCAGTAATGACTTCACTTTTAGAAGCAAATGCATTTCTATGAAAGGGCAACAAATGAAACAGCTGAAAAGTTATTTGTGGCCTCGGCGTACTGTACCTGTGCTCCTGTGCGGTGTATTTAAGAAGCTCGGCCAACTGGAGTGGATATTTGCAGATTTTCTGGACGGGCGTGAGCAAGAAGCCATCTATGGCGATGTCGATCATTTGCTGGAGGAGGCGACAGGCTTCGAAGAAGTGCTGGTACCTGCCATCCCTCATCAGTTTGCTCAGCTCCATACAGGCATCCAAGTGGTTGTTACAGTATTCTGAATAAATCCAGAAACCGTCTTGCTGTAGTGCAAAGGAGTAGAGATGGACATAGTCAGGATAATTAAAAAGAAAAATCATATAAATAGGGGAGTGATTATGGTTTCTAAAACATTAATTTCTTCTTATCTTAGGATGCTGTTAGCTGGTTAATTAGCTCCACAATTTAAATATTATCTCAAGATAACGAGACGAGATAAAAGAAAAATCTATTCTCTTCTTCTTCTTCTTTCATTTTTGGTCGAAGTTTGTCTAAAATATACTCACGTGTTCTAAAAAGCACGGCCCGATTTCAGAGAGGTGCGGCTCCTCTGTGTTGTACTGTTTCTCCAAATCTCTGACAAAACCCATCTGAAAGCGGTAGATGTCCTCGATGTTTCCAAAGATGACCTTCAACTGGTCGTCGTTAAACATGTCCACGCGCTTCCTGCACTGGCGCAAGTAGCCCTGCAAACAACACCGGTTACAGCTACAGTGAGGCTTTGACAGATGATCCTGTTCAGATGAGCACAAACATTTTTCAAAATGAGTATCAGGTCTCGAACTGTGCCATGGCTGCTTGTAGTTAATTAAATGCCCTGAAGCTTTGGCACTTTGGGAACAGATCTGATATAAGATAGCCAGACTTCTTCCTGCTGTCATTGTGAAATATGCATGCTAATCCTTTTTGTTTTGTTTCTTAAAGTCAGGCTCAGTTCAAATATGCATAATCACAACAGGGACTTCACATTATTGTATCTGAGAAATGTGACATTTCAACGATCAAGTCATTTACTGGTGATGAATTAAAACATCTGAGAAACATAAAAAACATTACAGGCATCCAATAAATAATTTTTTAAATAACAAAAAAAATCTTAGCATCATTTTGAATTCAGCAGTGCAAAATTTCTTCTTCTTTGTAACTTTTCTAAAACACCGAAGCAACTTACTTTAATGAACTGACCGGCTTTTTAAATCCAGAATATTCTACATCTGTATTTTTGATTGCTTGGTCTGGTTTTTAGCTCTTCAACTTCAGTTTTTATTATTTAAAAGTGAGCTTGTTCAAATCTGTTCCTCAGCTCAGAAAATCCTTTGCCCGTGCATGTCCTTGAATATTTGGAAGATCAAAGTTGCTTACATTAGCAAGACGTGCAGAGGTAAAATCCACGCTTTATTGCAACTATTCTTAAACAAGATGCTTACCTAGATATGATCTGGAATACAAACATGTATAGAGCAGTTTAGGGAAAGATGATTGGAAAATATGTGATGGAAATCGTCTAAGTTCAAAACTGTTTATTCTAGCATAGAGCACTCCTGTGTGCTGTGCATTACGGCCAAACATCTCCACTTTGGTCTTGTCTGTTCAAAGGACATTGTTGCAGAGGTCTTGCTGTTTTTTCAGATGCTTATCAAAACATAAGCATGTTCTTTTTAAAGAGAAGAGGCTTTCTCCTGGCAAAGGTTGCAAACAAGCCATACCTGTTCAGTCTTTCTTTGATTGCACTGTCATGAACTTTAAACATGCTAACTGAGGGCTGCAGAGTCTGAGATGTAGCGTTGGGGTTTTTACGAGCATCACGCAGTCTGATGATGGAGTGAATATGCTGGGACGTGTACTCCTGGGAAGATTGCGGGATTGTGTGAGCACACACCTGAACAGCAAAGTGCCAAAACGTCTTCTTTTAGGTGCTCACACTTGCTGATGGTTAATCAGTCAAGTGCCTTTTATCATTAGTGTGGTGGCCAGTAAATAACAGTGATTGTCACTTAGATTAGTGAGTTAGATACCACTGTTTAAAGACCAGACACATGCCAGGGAAAAGCAGGCTGTATGTAGTGTATGTTGTAAAGACATTTAAATCAAAGGATGCAGCATATAGAGGCAAAATTGTACTAGCTCCAAATATTTTAGAAATTAAGTTATTAATATATTCAAATGTTACAATGTGTGCACTTTATAGAGGATACATGCCTGTTTATTATTTATTAGACTGAGATTCCTGGCTTGGGAGCATTTTTAAAGAGCTGCAATTCTAATAATATAAAAATGGCCAGGGTTTTGTTTATTTTTATTAGGTGTGAATTTTAGCTTGTCACTTCAGGATGATTCATAATATAATGACAAATTTGGTCTGGACTGCTGGGACCACTGTGTACAGCTGACATATTGCGGTTTTGCATTTAGCTAAAGAAGCATTATTTTTGGCCTGTTTAGCAAACGAGAAAGAAAAAAAATGCCTGGAATAAAAGTGTGAATGTGGGAGTGTTACGAATTTATGCAAGATACTAGATGCGTAGCATCAAAAAGACTGCTGCTTTTTAATTAATTCAGCTTCATACCATATAGTTTATAACCTGCCCTGCTCTTACTTGACATATTAAAGCAAAGCCGGGAACAGCAGTGTATATAGATGTGTGATTTATGAATGTGTGCCGATGTTTAGTACCTCACAGATGTCCTTGAGGTGTTTGATATAATGTCTCTCTGTGCTCATAATCTCATTTATAACGTTAGCCCTCATCTGGTCTCGGTTTTGGAGGGGTGAGCCCAGACATAAGCAGTCATTGGTTGGATCCAGGTGCCCGTTCTGTACCTCGCTGGTTCCTTCAGCTGGCTCTGCTCCGCCGTCTTCCTGGTTCACCCACAGCTGAGGACAAATACATTCATGCACACACAAGAGCCACATGCATTCGAATGAGTAAAGAGCTTTCTTAAAGGTTGGGTGGGGAAAAAAGGGATTAGACAACATATTTATATATAATGATTATTGTTAGTATTAACAAGTAATATTAGCTCTCCTAATGTGTTACCAGTCACACATGAAAGCATACACACCCAAACATCCCACACATAAACACAGCGCTTCATTAAGAGGTCCTCTGGTAGTTTAGACAGTGAGTCGCTCTCCAGCATGTCAAAAAACACACTGCCAAACACTCCAGAGTATAAAAAAGCCTCTCTCAGAGACCGAGCACATATTCTGAGGGCATTTAATGCGTGACTCAAAATCTGCCCCCTACACATATGCATGCATATACGCTCAAATACCACCTCGTGATTTCACCGACACTCACGCACACACATAGAAATCCACACACATCGTGTATTCCACTCTCGCTCATAGAAAGGGCCAAGTGAGCGTGTTTTCAGATGCCCAGCAGCCAACACCTGATGACACACAGTTTGCCAAGAGAACATCAAAGAACCGACGGGTAGAATGTCAAACACAAGATGAGGAATGTAGCGCCACAGACAAGCAGAGTGACGGGTGGTAGAGCACTGACTGCAGACGAGAACTAGTAGCACAGCATTAAGACTGAGAAATAGTCAGAGTCAATAGTAAATAGAGTACTGAAGAGAATGATCCATAATTGAACTATAAAAAAAAACCATGAGTAATTTTTCCCAAATCCATCTAATTCTACGTGAATACATCTGTACAATTTTTTTAGAATGGCCCTTTAAGGAGACATTTCACATTAGCTTTACTTTTGACTCATCAGTTCTGCCTCTCTATCGAGCCCGTTGAGGAATGATGTGATAACGTTAATGTTTGGTAATGTCGAGGGCACGTTGCGTGGACAGACTGGAGCGGGCGGGTGGGCGGGCAGGCTGGATGGGTAGATGAAGCTGGGGAAAAAAACGCACCTTTGACGTGGTGTTTTGGAACCGTGGAGTTGCTATGGGGTTGATATAGAAAACCTGTTTTGTTTGGGGCTGAGGAGGGTGGGGTTCCACCTTGGAAAGAGAGAATGACAGAACAGAAAGATACTTTTTGGTTGACAGTCAGTCAGCCTGTCTGCCCTGCCCTCTCAGGAGTGAATATGGAAGGGTGGACAGGTGGGAATGACCATGGAAAGTGTCTGGGTGGGTGCTCTGCTGTGGGATCCCTTCAACTGCAGCAAAGATGCTAATTCTTCCTTCCTTCATAAAGACGCTAAACCATATCAGGAATGTTCAACGATATATTCTACTTTGCATCATAAATTGTGTCTAATTAAAATATTTTTTATTATTATATGCCTTGGACTAAGACTTTAGGCGGGGAGCCTTCCGCTTTCATCCAAAGAAATTTCAAAAACATATCGCAGAGTTAAACTATGAATATACATCTTCCTGTACAGTCACGCTTCACCATTCCAAGAGAAGTGCAATTACAGAAAGCAGAAGTAAAAGTAGTAGGGAAAGGCATTCAGCGGCAGCGTGCAGTTTTTGGATTCAGCTGAACTAAGACATGGGTGCTATTACATAATCATGATGTAATGCGAGGATGTTGTAAATTTAATTGGATTTCAAGGATAGAAGTTGAAGGTGATGCTACGCTAAAAAAAAAAAAAAAAAGAGGGGGCTCATCAGCATCTTTGTTTTCTTGTCCCTGAACATCCGATAAAGGCACCTCGCTAGCTGTTTTCTCCTCTCTTCAGTGTTATGTATTATTAAAATAAAGCAGCACTTAACAGTGGAACTGTGGAAGAAGCATATTAATGTGTGTGCTTTGTGAAAGTGTGTTTGTGTAAGGCGGAATAATTGTGCATGTGTACCTTCCAGTATGTTTATTTATCAGCTCGGGTGCATATGTTCATGTGCCTCCATTTGTGTACGTGTGTGGGTGTCTGTTGTGTCTGTGGTCGCTGGCCAGCCATGGCTGCAGCTAACTCACCCGTACAAAGCTGGCAGGGAACCATCCTTCCTCCTCATCAATCTGGCCCCACCACCAGTCCTTGTTGGAGGCGTCCAGCACCTTGATGACGTCACCGGCCTTAAACGCCAACTCCCGGTCCGCCATGGTCACATGGTCCCATACCGCCTCAGCGTTGACGATTGAACCTCCACTTATCAACTGTAGGAATTGGAAGGAGAGACAAGAAATACCTTATGTATTATTCTGATCACGTGAAGCTGTGAAGCAGGAGTAAACACTAAACATTGATCAACAGGACACAATCCAACGTGATCCAAAACGGTAAGTGAATCAAATCTGAAACTGAATGCAGTACAGTAATATGCCAGATTTTGGCTCCAGTATGTGTGAGTCCTTGTTGTTAAACCCACTCAGATTTCTAATGGAGTTAAACATAGGCCCTCAAAGCCAGGGCCCGCTAGCAGCTCGGGGACTGCACAGCAAATAGAACGGCACAATAGCCAACACAGATCATAGTACAACACAACAATAAAACAACGATACAAAAAAGGCAGAGCCGTTAGTGGGGAAACATTCTGTGTTCAGTGGCACAGCACCAGTCTCCACACAGGGACGGTAATTGGCCCATTATGACATTAGAATAATTACATGTGTTAATGTAATATAAATGCTAAGGAGCAAACAAATGTGAAGGGATAATCTCCTTTCCTTCATGCTGTCACTGGGGCTTGTTATTTTATCTGCAGCAGTCTTCTACCAAACATGAAAGGATGACTCATCAAATCTTTTCTATTGACTTTAAAATCATGAATAAATAATGTGGACATTATGCGACACTAAAAATAAAGATTGAATTTGTGCAACGTACATGAGCAAAGTTATTTGATGTGCATCAATTAGAGATTGTAAGGTGATCAGTATTCTTTAAGGGGAACCGAAGAAGCTAAAGGTTGTTCTCATTAAAAGACATGTTCTTTAGTGCCTGAAATCATCAATCTAAAGCGTCACCATCTGTCACACTGATCACTTAGCTCTGTTACCTTGTGAAGCACAACCCCATGCATGCGTGTAGTCCCACGTTTTTACTCTGTATGCATGAAACCTGTGTATGCATCCGTGGAACAAATCCAACTGTTTGTCCCAATTGTTCTCTCCCCAGTAGTGTTCATCAGCATTCTCCAGTCCGGAGCTTAACCACGCATCCAGTCCCTGGGGCTGTGGGCAGAGCAGCCAGCGCTAACCAACCCTGACAAGGGATGCTGTGGCTCTAGGTAAGGACTTATCAAAGGCCTGCAGAAATAGCTGTCACAGGGATGGCTACAAAATTAGTTCCTTACTTCTCTTAAGGCCTTTGCATAATCCTATTGAGCTACTTTCATTTTATACGTTTAGCTAATTGTTTTTTTTCTCTTTAATTATCTAAGATTATTTTGTCTATTGTAAAAGACAAAAATGACCCTCCTACCTCTACCTCAGTCTAGCACAAAATTGCTTTTCTACCTTCCTGCCGATGCAGTGAGTTTGCAGTGTGTCTATAAGAAACAACACAGTGTGTGCATGTGTCAAACTCAGAAGCTACATGGGCCCTCCAACCTGTAGACAAGACCACCACCCTGATGGATTACTGAGACAGCTACAGGGGCTATAAGCCAATCAGGGCAGAGAAGTGAATACAGGGAGGGACGGACTTCCATGCCTGGAAGTGAAAGAACAGCCGTCGTCATGGTGACAGATGAGGATGCTTCACTGATATTGACAAGATGATGGGATGAGGCAAGGACATTTCAGGGTGCACCACAATATTTCCACATTTAGGCGCGTGTGCGTGTGTGAGAGAGTAGTCACACACAAAGAGTGACCACCGAATAACTGCAGTGTCACTCAGCTATTAAATATTAAAATCAATCACAAACTGCAATTTCAAATTAAATCTAAAAATGCAAAGGAAAACAGCACGGGCCTCTGCAGACAGTTCGGAGATCAAAGATGTTTAGCCAGGCATCACTTTGGACAGGTAGCTGGGGTAACAATAGCTGTAGCCTATATCTCAAAGCGCTCCACTTCAGGAAGAGAGGAGGGTTACCGCAAAAACATGTGTCACGCTGCCATGGAAACAGGATCAATAAGTAGTGCTCAAAAACATTAAAAAATCATTGCTGGTTCAGGAAAGGGAATTTAAATGATCTATTAGGGAAAAAACACCTGAAGGAATAACTAGTGGAAGCCAAATCAGCTCCACTTGACTTACACCATAAAAAGAAGCCCATAGAAGAGATGAGCCTTGGCACTGAGGTCAGCCTTGCTTCTTGCCCTCCCACCCCCTCGTCGTCCTCCAGCACCACTCCATTTTCAGCCCCATTCACTACAAGTGCAATCTCTCTTGTCCCCATCAATCTGCTGTAATACGGGCAACAGACAGAAAGAGCAAAGGAAAGAGGGATGGAGATCCATTCACAGTGTTCCTCCCTCCTCAGTTCTTTCCGTTTATCCCTCCATCTCTCTAATGAGATCAGTACTGCCCTCTCCAATATATTGCATCCTTTTTTCCCTCTACATGTCTGAATAAATTAAAAGCATTACATAATCAATCTTCCCCCGTTCCCGCCTAAGCACGGCCCCATACCTAGCTGGATAATACAGTAAACACACAGAGCCAAGCACAGAGAGGGCTTGCTCATCATACTCATCATTACATGTGTGTCTATCAGCTGTCATGACCTATGTCATCATTATGGGCACACTGCAGTTCCTACATGAAAGATCAGAGGGCTAAGCAGATATCTCTGAACCGCAAAACCTGTATTTGGGTCAATGCAAATGAATGCAGAGGAATCTTTCCCTTTATATAGGCGTTTGTGACAGTGCTTTCTGTTACATGTCAGAGCACAGACATGGAGCCTGACACGGAAATGTGTACGAATAGAAAGCAGATTCACTTGCTTATATCATCTTTGCAGCGCAACACATCAGCATTCACTGCACTGGTAAAGCCACTGCATTCCAACATCCTCCTCTGTATCCAACCTTAGCACAGCTGCACCAAAGTACCAATAGCATCCCTGAACAAGCACGCATACACACACACATACGCCTTTAGCCAACCTTACCATGTTTGTGGCATGTAACTGTTCGGAGAGTGTATGCATGGAGAAGTCCGGTTCATACGATCATGATAATCGAACCCCTGTTTTGGAATAGGTGACGGTCCTCCGCGAGAGCCTGAGCCGTAAAGTAACAAGGTAGTGTATTCCAATGCACCGAGTGAGTCTCGCGGTCCGTCCTCCCTGTGTCTGCCAACCCTGTTATGTAATACACTTATACCCCGAGTCTGGGAGCCAATCAAAGATGCTCTGCTTAAAACCGGTGAGAAATGCACACACATCCTCACACACGCCGCTGTCCCACTCGCGCACACCATCTGCACATTGACACTTCTGACTGCACAGCATTTAACAGAACTCTATTAGAAGGCACCTGCCCTGGTGGAATTACAAACGTGTGAACGCTCGGGATGTGCGCAGGACGCAGACTGAAAAGGCACAGCACATAACACCCACTCGAGACTACCTCTCACCCACATCGCTTAACATGCTCGCATACTTACATGTGAGCAACACATCTGTAATTAGCACTCCGTTTGTTGGCCATGTGACCCGTAACCACTGCGGTGCACGTTACGATCTTGTGACGTTGTGACGATTTGCATGCTTACAGTCCTGCGAGGGTCTCCGAAAGGGGGATGCTGTTTATGCGTTTGTACCAGCCACAGAGATGAAAACACCAGCCCTCATGCAACAGCATGTGATGGAGGTATCTGTGTTCATAATACACATCTCACAGCACCTGCAGTCCAACATTTATCACTTAACTGCACACGCACAGAAAACACACAGCACTTAGCAGTGAGTGTGAGGAAGCACATACAGTATCTTCAGAAAACCTGGTGAGTCTAACATCCCTATTAATAGGACTGTCATGGACAGCTCTGGGATAGGGCTTTCAGAATATCTATTTCAGACGTTCATTCAACATTCATGACACCTGCCTCCAATCCTTTATTAGACTATGGCGATGCACTTGGAAGGGAATGGAAGGAAAAAGACTTTTTTTTGTCATCTCCAGCTGACAAGCCTTTTCACTTGGACTGCATTGCATCTGAAAGAAATATATAATGATGCATTTTTTATTAGTCACCATTTAGTGCCTGGGTGACATAACGTGTGGGCTTCAGAAACAGGTGCTACAAGTGCAAGAGAGAAAACAGGGCACAATATGGGGGGGGGCTGTGAAATGGGAGCTCAGTTTAGCTGAATCTAAAATGGGGGAAACCTGGAGTGATGAGGCCCTGCTTTATTAGGCCTACCCTGCCATGCTGTTGGTTACTGTTCAGCTGAGACTACAATGATGCTCTAGAGTGTGTGATCAGCAGCACAAACCTCTCACTTGCACCGCTATTTGCTACAAATATCACACTGACTTGTGGGGAGATATCACAGCACAGCTATTAGCTGCCATATTGTGGATGAGGCTACAGTGGATCACAAAAGGGAGGAAAAAAAACAAGTCCTTATGCAGCAGTAGGACGTTGTTAGAATAATTTTTAAAAAACACCGTCACATTCATTTCCCATCTAAAAGTCATATTATTATAGAATAAAATTCATCAATGCGCATAATCCACAATATTCAACATGGAGGAGAGGGGAAGATCGACGTGGGGTTGGGGAAGGTGGGTTGGAGAGGAGATGTTTATACTATTATGCGGGGAAAATGAATTTCCAGTCACCACAGAAAAAGGTAAGCGCATCACAGATCTGTATCCGCACAACTACGACCACCACCAGACAACACTAGCTATCACAAACGGGGGGGAGGAGGACACAAAACATAACGAAGGATTGGAAGGAGGGAGAGGGTGGGGGGGTGGTGGTAGGGTGGTGGGAAGAAACAGAAATACATTATGTTGTACCAACGTCATTCATTTCAACGCGTAGCCGTGATGGAGCGCCGGGTGTCCCCGCTCTCGACCAACGCGCACTGCTGTTCTCTCCTCTCCTGTGTGAAAGTGCGCTGCGCTGCGAACCGGGCCCCAAGCGCAGATCCATTTAACGAGTACCGAGGATGAACATCAACAGCACGTTCACAAGCACCAGAACCGCGATCACCGTAAACACCGCGCAAGTCTGGACGTCCAAGGCCATGGCGCAGCGCTGCGGGCCGATGCTGAGCTGTGCTCTCAGTTACGGGCGGTATTCAGCTCTCCACACTTAGACACGCAGCCTCAAAGCAACCAGAAATCCTCCATTACAGTTAGGCAAGAAATGACGAAAAGATGCCCCTACTTCTCTCCACACAGCGCGATGCGATTCATAAAGATAACGGGAAGAGATGCATCATCCTCACCATCATCATCGTCATCAGTCTGCACCGCGATTTCTCCCCGCTAGTCAACACCTGCCGGTGTTTCGCCTCTTCCCTCAACCCGACCGTCTCTCAGGCCAATAGATTCTCAGAGCACACAAGAGGGAGGCTGTGCGCAGGCTGTTCGCAGCTGCTGAGCTGCCTTCCGGTGAGTGGGGGACCAGGGAGAACGGCTGTGAGCCTGAGAGGCGGTCCTGTGTTAATAGTGATCAGCTCTCTGCCGCTAGACTACCGGCGTCAGCCATCACCTACAGCCGGGGGAGGGGCACAGCCAGCCCCTCGCTGACTACATCGACCACTGAGACCAGAATCATAACCTCATTCATCTCCCACCCTATCTAAAAATATCGTGGTGGTGCCGTGGTGATTTATCATTTACCATTAACAACCCCGGCATGAAGGAGAATAAATGTCAGAGTAATGATGCATGTTTCTCAAAGTGATCACCATCTTATAATTTTATTGGCATAATGTCTGCCAATTTATCAGTGGCAGCAGATTCATCGACAGGAGCTGGTTTGATATTCAAATACATGCACTTTCTGCATTACCACTGGTGCACCGGGCGCACCTCACTGATGCAAGAAGACCGTTTAAAGGTGCCATCTCTCGGACATGCAACGGTTTCTCGGGGATTAAAGGTGTCCAATTCAGTCCTGCTGGAGTGGATGAACCTCAAGAGATCAACCTCAAGTTTTAAGTTCTAAGTTCGTGTGAAGACCGGTTCAGCGTGCACTTAACTGGAGAACTTGGACTAGATGTACTCTGTGGAGCTAACCTTAAAAGTTATTTCTTTTATTTGCAGTGCAACCTTTTTTGCATATGCAGTTCAAAATCCAAGCCACATCTATGCTACATTAATTCTGCCTGATGCAGACTTACCTTTGCTCTAGTATCTAATAAAGTGCTCCAAAAACAAAGGAAGTGCATCCATAAAGAAAGAGTTCCTTACATAAAAGGACACTGACACTACTCTCCATAGAGGGCAGAGATAAAATTAAGACCACCATTTCCTTGCAATTATTTATTTTTTTCAATTTCTGTACAGTTTTAATGTTACCTGTTGCTGTTGCTGCTTTTTTAAAATGGAAGATGCCTCCATAAATGTAGTATTAATCAATTAAGTTGCAACAAAGTAAATTTTTTTCCACTAAACTAGATTTTTTCTGAATGACTTTATTGTTAAATCATACACGTTTAACCATGTACAAGTCTTCAGTAATCTCACTATTTCTATGGGGTTTGTCACGTCTCTTGGGTGGACCCTTGCACTCCTCACCGGTGGCAAATTTCTCACAGGATATCTGCCCCCATGAACAGATATCCTGTTCATGGGGGCCCAGGATTTAGAGTGGGTTGCATAGTTTTCAGAAGATTGGTGAGTCAATCCCCAGCTCCTGGATCTATATGCTGAAGTGACCGTGGGCAAGAAACCGAACCCCAAGAATCCCCTGATGTGTGTTAGCATTGAAAATGTATCTGTGGATGCAGCCTGCAGTGTAAAAAGTGCTTTGAGGGGAAAAAAGGGGAAAACTGGTACTACATGAACGTTAATGAACATGCTGTATGTGTCATTGCCATCATTTTATTTTACTTGAAAAGAAGAAGCTCTTAGGTGCTTAGGTTTCTAAGTTATACATTTGACTTCATAGAAATTTTAAATCAAGAGAAATACCTGTGAAATGTATCCAGTGGTTGAAATTGTGTAATAAATCAGTTTCCTTAGATAGAAGTGATGGGTCAGTTGGAAAACTTTGAAACTTCAAGCAGCTAATGGGATTTATAAAACTAATGGCTCCAGAGGGACAAACGTGTAAATTTCAGCACTGGTATCCACTTTTGAAAAATTATTTCAGTTGCCTGCTGCAATAAAAAGGCTGAAACTGATCTCACGGAGGAAATGTCAGTTCCAAGCGGTGCCTAATTAAAAGAAATCACCCATTGGACGTTTTTACATTTTAATATCTTAGACATCAAATGATTGGGTATTTGATGTGCTTTGTTTGACAATGATCTATGCAAACATGGATTTATGGACATGATATGTCAAACCTGACAGTGCTGGTAGACCTCAGATCCCCAGCTAGAGTTGCGAAAAACTAAACAATATACATCACTTGTAAAAGAACCAGATCATAGTAACTGTTTCCCAAAAATAAAGGATATTTTAAAAAACAACAACTGTAGTTATACCCCAAAGTGTATTTTAAAGGCCTTAATGGGCCATGTGACATCATCATAGTCTTAAATTATGTTTCTGTAGTAGTAATAACTGAAGGTGCAGGCACTAGAAAGGGAGATCACAAATCTCCCGCCCACACTGGCTCAGCGGCTCCCTGTAAATCACTTCTCCTTCGATCCCCTCCCCTCGACACCAAATGTGCTTAGATGCCACAACTGCATGTCGTTTCTCTGTGTCTTCTCTCTCCTCTTGTTTGCGTGTTGTCCTGTTTGTTACTTGTGATCTCTGTGCTTTTCTTTTTGCCCCCCCCAACCGCTCGTGGCAGATGGCCTCCCTCCCTGATCCTGGTTCTGCTGGAGTTATTTCTCTCCACTGTTGCCAAATGCCTGCTCATTTCTCGTTTCTGTCATTTTTGTAGCTTACACTGTAAAGTACCTTGAGATGATTACTGTTGTGATTCGGTGAAGCATAAGTAATAAAACTCAAGAACAACTTTCTGACTCTACGGTCACTGGGAAATGAGGAGGATTTCAACAGCAGCCCACTGTAGAAATAAAGTATTTAAAAGTCAGTAGCAATATATTCTAAACTGTCACATTTGCAACAGAAATATGTGAAACACAGACTGCTGTTACTGCTAGCTTAGTTAGCGTTTTACACCCATGGCCAACATAAACAAGTGCAGCTGTGGTTTGATATCTTTTAGTGTGACTGGAGCATTTTGAGCATATTGATTGAATGGTTGAAAAGGAGGCTGTGCTTGTGGGGTTGTTCTGTTAAGTTTCTGCGGATCAAAATCAACTCTAACTGCTAGAAGTTTGTGCAGGAAACAGGTGAAGTCCTCTGAAAAAGAGAGAGGAACAACTACTACAACTACAGAGCAGCCTTTCAGACCTAAAGGAGACTAGTGTCTGGTGTGCAGTGCAATGTTTTTCAGTGTTGAGTTGTTTTAAGTTTATCGAAAGTGACAGGACAAAATGGCCCGAGCTCCGATCTGATGCACGTGTTTGCCATTGGCATGCACATAATTTTGGCTTTCATGTTCACAGTGATACCTTAGATGAACATGAGCACATCCCAGCCTGCGGGATTGTTGGCAGATTATGAGTGGAGCACAACGTGATTGTGAATAAATTAACATAGGAGAATCACTTCAGTTCCATCTCCCTAGTCAACCATCCTACACACGGATACACACTCCCTTTCCAAACTACACTCTAACTTCACATTGAGCTGTGAGCTTTGGAATGAATCAAAAGACCTCAGAATAAGTTTAAGAGAATAACACCAAAGGAGTGCAATATATCAGTATTTTTAAAGCCATAAATAATTTCCAGGGCACTTTCTGCACATACATGCTGATAAAAGCAATGGCTCCTGAAAGCTTGGCTTTCAGAGAACAGAGAGCCATACAAGGCATCACAGCTGAGATATGACAACCGTCCTCAAACAAGCTTTTTCCCCCCTTCTCTCTGCTTGTGTGTGTGCAACACAGAGTGAGGAGATTACATAAGCCTGCCCTACCTCTGTGGGCTCCCTCTCCAATCTCCCTGACATTTAGACAACAAAGGTCACATCTGAAAGTCTAAATCTGCACAGACACCAATGCTAATATACTCATACATATACAGAAGAAAAAAAAAAGATGGTATAAACGGCAGAATATTTCCCACTGGCAGAGAATTACGTTAAATGAGTCTGAAATTACACTTAGTGAATGTGCATTAGTTTGGGAACGAGCACAGACGCAGCTCAGTCGTATGACTTGCACCAATTTCAGGACTGTCAACCACTAAACCAAACTGACAGTCAATTTAGTGACATCACTCTTCATCCTCTCATGTGAAAATGACCCTGAACCGCTTTCACAGAAGCAGCTGCTGGCTCCCCACTTCACTGGGACATGTTTTACCCATGAGAGAACAGCTCACACAAACAAAGGTCTATTTTACTAATCTACAAATAACTGCCTTTCATATTTACCCGAGTAACGATTAGGAAGTTCTGGGATTCTGCCTACAGACATTAAAAACCAAACCAGATCAGTATTTATCCGATCCTACTCCGAAGGTGATCTTATCGTGCACCTCTGGACTTTCTCCAGGACTGCTGCTATATTTAGATCCCATCACGACTACCTGCACTGCACGGTTTGCAATTTTACAGTGAACCTCAAATTTGCATCTAAGGTTAGAAGCAAAACCAGGACCATGGTTATGGTTTTTATGAAGTATTCACAGGGTTGTACAGTATTAATTCGTTCTAGAGGGTCAGACTGCAGCATCTGAGGGAGACAATCGTCTTTCTGTGCACTGAAAACATAGGTTACTTAAGCCACACTAACACAATTCAGGGTTCAAATTCAAGTTGAAATGTTGCTGTTTTCACATACTCGGGAAGATCCACTGTGCATACCAATGACACAAGTGCAAGGGGACAGAGCAGAGTGATCTAAAAATAGCATCTGTGTGGAAAGCAGTCCAAAGGGCAATCAGAAGATGACCTTGAAGGAGAGATGAGTGAAATTTATAAAAGGTAAATCGTGGGAATTCTTTTTTTTTAAATGGGTGAAATCCAGCCTCAGTAGGTCTGAATATAACTACTGATTCATTTGTATATCGAGTTGTGAAAAAGAAAGTGCACCCTTTTTCTATTCTATGGGTTTATTGACAAGAAAAAAAAAACATTGTCTAGACCTCAGCAGATCTTAATATGAGATCAATAATAATGTTTAATATTTAGTATTTACAGTTATATTCCCATATATCATCGTGATGTTGTTTACTCTATTGCTCTCGTTTTCTTCTGCTTGTTTTCTTTTTTCATTCTCAACAGGTGAAATTAAAAAAGTATCTACTGTTATCTATTGTTAGCTAGTTTATTGTGATGGTGTTGTTTTTATTATGCTGCTCTTTGTTGTTTGTTTTTGTTTTCCTTCTGGTTTTTTAATCTATACGGTTGATCCAGGTGTTTTGTTTGTTTTTTTCCCCCCCTTTCTCACCATCTCTTCTCCCCTCTATTTTTCTTTCTCTCCCTCTCTTTCTTTCATTCTTTCTCCCTGTCCTATCCCCCAGTCATGTCTGTCCCGTCTTTAAAAAACGAAAATAAAATAAATACATAATTATAATAAAGGTCAATCAAATGGACCAATATGGCAAGGCCATGATGATCCACTTGGTAAAGTAAATCCACTTGGCATCTTTCTTGGCCTTCAGACAACAATTCTGATGGCTAAAGATCCAAACGGGGCAGGCAAAAAAACAAAAAAAAATGAGATCAATACAACCTTATAACATGATGTTCATGTTCACAGTGACTTTGTACTCTCTGAAGATATTATTACTGTAAAATGTTTTTTCTGCTTACTGTGTTTTAATAAAAAAAAAATTCCAATGGTGACAAGTTTTTGTAAAATATTGTGTTATGTTGCTAACGAGTCCCAAACTATGTCCATGACACACTGTTGACAATCCATTTGCATGCAAGTGATCAAGTTGTAACAGCATGTAGAAAGCGTCATTCACACAGACTCATTTACTGTGTAAGTTCCCAGAAGTTAGTAGACAGCAGCCTTGATAAAAACACAGTGAGTCACATGACTTTTCAGTCAACTGTTGCTGTCATTACACACCCAAAGACTTGACAAACAACTCAATGCAATTAAGGAGCATTTTTACATTTCCTAAGCATCTTTACAAATTTCCTGTGAATTGCTTCTTCTTCCTTCGGCTGATCCCTTTAGGGATTCCCGCAGCAGATCATCTGCCTTCATCTAACCCTAACCCTACCGTCCTCCTCTGTCACACCAACCCTCTGCAGGTCATTCTTCAACTACATCCACAAATCTTCTTTGAGGTCTTCCTCTTTTCCTTCTGCCTGCCAACTCCATCTTTAACATCCTTTGTGCAGTATATCCACTATCCCTCCTCTGCACATGTCTAAACCATCTCAGCCTTTTCCCTTTAACTTTGTCTCAAAGCCACTCAACCTTAGCAGTCTCTCTAATATTCTTGTCCGTTTACTCCTAATGAAAATCTTAACATATTCAGATCTGCCACCTCTCTTTTTATCAGTGCAACCATCTCCAAACCATACATCACAGCAGGTCTCAATACCATCTTGTAAATCATCCCTTTCACTTTTGCTGCTGTTCTTCTGTCACAGTGTAAATTGCTAACATGTGTAATGCTTATTAAATCTAATACTAAACATGTGCTGTTTGAGATAAACTGCTTAAAATAGGTAGACAGACTTTTTTCCTACAGGTCTGAATACATTAGGGGATACTGATGCCCCTGAACAATATGGTAGCTGTGTAAACGCGTCGGTCCAATGAACAGCAGCTAATGCAGTGCATGTTTATATGTCAACTTGGTGGTTAAATAATATTAGAATAAAGCTAAGTAAAAACTGCCGTCCTTGAACAAGGCTGGCACAATGTGGAAAAAACACCCTGCATATGACAGAACATTAACCAGTAATTTATGCCCCAGGGTAAAAGCTGGATTCTACATGATATCAGTTTAAGACAAGTGCTGCTCATTCGCTGGTCTGGGATCAGCTCTTTTGAGACTTACTTTAATTCTTACTTTTCATTTTTGGATTAGTTAAAAGCCGCCATTATCTTATGACCTCTCTCTGAAAAAGACTGCAAAGTTTCAGTGCTAGCAAATGAATCTGTTTGTGGTCAGTAGGTATTTAGTTAATAGGAGGCAAAGCCCACCACACCCATTTCCCTTCTGTCTGCTCCAATTCTTTTCTTCTCCTCCCATCCCCACGGCAACCACACTGACTTCCTGCTTCCTCCCAGGCCTTTCAGCCACAAAAGCGCCCTAAAAATAAAGTGCTGGACTTTTCCTGAACGCAGTTTTGTCACCATTGTTCAGGCATCAGCTGTTTATTCGTTCAGCTCAATTTGGCTTTTAGTGTAAAGTCGAGTCAGTGGGTCAGCGCACGGAGAGATTTGAGAAATAGAGTAAGATAGATGCCAAGTAGGGCAGACAAAATCACGGATACATATTTCAAAAGTGATATCAAAACACTCCAGAGCCTAATAGCTTCAAGAGAAATAGTCCTGCTCATGCATGATACAGTCACGAGAATGAATTGCTATTTAATGACAAATCAATACAGTATCTGTGTGTTCTTGAGACTGCAAAACAAACTGAATCTGTCCAGCGACTGTGGTCTTTGGGTCAGTCCCTGGTGAGACTGCATAGCATTGTGCAGCGCTAGCAGAACTAAAGACGGAAAGTCTTTGAATAAACACAGGCTGAACTTAGGGAATGCCACATCAAGTCTCTCTGTGGAATGAAAGCAAGCCTTTGAAGATTTTTGAAACATATAAAATTAGAAACTCATTTGATGCACGCCTCACCTGTTTTCCGCACTTCTGTGACAGAAGCTTACCACGCTACTGTCATAACCGTATAACACAGAGTAATTTAATTGTGCATTGATAGCTTCAAAAATGCAATAAACAAATGAATCTCAGCATTATCCTCCCGCACCTCTATTAAGAAAAAATCCTAATGAGATTGAAAGCACTTGTTCAAGCTGTCACTGTTTGCTGTAAGCCACACAGCTGCTGGCTGTAGCTTCACATTTATGTGAGTTGTAACGATAGTTTCATCTCTCTTCTTTGAGAAATACGTGTAATTTCCCAAACAGAAAAAATGTTTCTTTAAAGACGATTAACGAAGATAACAGAAGTGACTATTTCATTAAATGATGCCATTAAATTATCATCTTGATATCCCTTTCACTCATTAAGCTGCCTCCCTGAATCATCTCAGTGATAAAACATGCATTTAAATGACCGCTTTCAAATGTCTTCTAATAGAGGGGAGAACTCTGTTTCTGTTAAAATATTTACTTAACGTAACAAAGTGTGTAATGGTGAGGCAGCTTTTGAGACATTGCAACCAATACGAAGCACTGTTGTAACCGCAGTTTCTTAGTTATGGTTCTGTTCAGCGTGAGAGTCAGTGTGTGGTTTCATGAAGCCCACAGACTCGTCGCTGGAGAGACCCCAGCTAAGGTGTGAGGGATAAAGTCAAGTGGCCTTTGCTAGGTTGGTTGTAAAAACTGGCATTGCTTCACTACACTCGACTGTGCTGGCTGTGTGTGTAGTAAGCATGTGTTATTGTCACCATTCATCAGAGCCACTGGGTGCCACCTGCAGCCCAGACCCCCCCGGAAGCATGTAGAGAGAAGTGCCTTCCTGTTCTTCCTGACTTTTCCAACTCAGGATGATTTGCATGCGATGCTTGTTGGGCACGGCTTTTCAGGAGTAAAAAAAAACGTCCATGTTTAGATTTTTCCTGTAAAACATTTCTCACATAGTCTGTGGGACAGCAGTTAGCAGTGATGAGTCCATGCTTTCACTCTAATCTACTATCACACAGTGCATGCCATAGATGTGCGACTAGCTACAAACTGCAGGGATGGTTAGAAACCTCTACCTGTCCTCTGAGCGAAAACGATTTTACATTCTCACTGCTTCCACGCCACAAGAGTTCAAAAGCAGAACAGCAGATTGAAATGCAAAACTCTGCAGTGAAACCATATTTGGGTGAAAGCTTGTTTGGCTTGTTCTCTGTTGCTGAGCACCTTATTTCTTTTTTTTGTTTTGTTAGGGTAGCTCTTGCCATCAAAGACCTAATAGGCTGTCTGATAACCATCTTCCATTGAAAAGCTAAAATATACGACTGCACACAGCCATGGATGCGCACTAAAACTTTGTGCTCTTGTGCTCACACACACAAGCTTTCACATCCACACAACAGGCCACAGGAAGCAGGTGTTTTCACAAGCCTGGAGGGAGGAATAGAGGAAGAGGGGGGAGAAGGTAAGCAAGCACAGAAAGAAGTGGGGGGGAAGAAAACTTGATGTGAACAGAGGAGAAAACAGAGATGGACGTGATGGAGGAAGGGATGACGAGCGCTGAGGTCATGAAGAAAGGGAGGCGGATCGAGACGGGGGGGGGTGAAGAAGAAGAACTACAAGGAGCAAGGAGATTGCATAATACGTGGATGTGATGGAGGGTTTTCTCTGATGCCGCATGTGGCGTAGCTGGGAGTCAGGGAGGTCAAAGGCAGAAAGTTAAGCTAAATAATGTACACAAGAAGTGGCAGCTGCCAGAAAAATACACCCCATCTTTCACAGAGGCCTGCAGGATACATTCTAACTAGGAGAACACTGTACAGACAGTTAGCTTCTGTCTCATTATTTTAATGCAGGATAAAGTGACCAGGGCCGGAGCTATTTCTTTATTCAGACTCCAAACACTCAGCAGAGTAAGTTAGTTAAAGTAATTCAAATCAGAGCGACTGTCTCTAAATGTGCACAGAGAGAGTAAAGAATAACAGATAACATAGGGGTTTCAAAGAGCTGACCATCAATATTAACTGAATACATCCAGGGTTAGCTCTTTTAATAAATTGTTAAATATAATAAATATATTTTACACACATTCCTTATGAATATGCGTCATATTGAAAGTTAGCTACTTTTTATTTATTGACATTTGTATTTTCTAACCTATTTCTGTATAGGCGATTCAAATTACAGCTTTCTCTGCTAAACCTGGCATCATTACAAGTCTCTCTCACAAACTTAGTTTAATTGGTTTTATATATTATACAGGACAATGCAGTGCACCTTCAAGGTGCTACAGTAGCACTAGCAGTGGATAGTGATGGCTGTGGGTAAAATCAGCCAGGGAAGACTTGTACACATGAAACTACAACTG